GTATTCACATGACAATGACAGTATATTCAATATCTTGAAAAGATCCCTACATGAGTCTCTAGGCCCCACTCCAGATATAATCCTTATCACTTTTTTTTTTTTGTAATTTAAAAACTCTAATATTATTTGTTGAGTTGCCCCAGAAAATTTTTCCATACTTAAGAATAGAGTGGAAATAAGAAAAATACACCATTCATAAAATTTTTTTACTCATAAAATAAGATAAACTCCTAACTACAAAAATAGCTGAACTAAATTTAGGGACAATATGCTCTACATGACTCTTCCAATCCAAATTTTTATCAATTTTCAGAAACAAAAATTTTATCACAGGAACTTCATAAAAAAATTTCTGCTAGCAACTGTCAGAGAGTTATAAGACTGTTTTAGAGCAAATCTAATAATATTAGTTTTAGTGATATTTAAGGCCAACTTATTTACTGTGAACCAATTTACAATAAGAGACAGTGTACCCATGACTTTATGCTTAAGCTCAGCATGATTATTACCGGTAACCAAAATAGTGGTATCATTAGCAGAAGGAAAAACTTTAGCCAGTTTATTAATATATGGAGGCAAATTATTAATGTAAATAATAAATAGAATTGGTCCCAAAACCGACCCCTGAGGAACACCTTGCTCAACTCTTTCCCAAGATGAGAAATAGTCCTGACCATCATTAGTTTAATGTACGCTCTCTGTTTTCTATCCAATAGATATGATTTGAACCAGTTTAATATACAACCCCAGACACCATAATACTCTAGTTTAGATGTCAATATCTCATAATTAACACAGTCAAAAGCCTTAGCAAGGTCACAAAAATTCCTTGCAGTTTGCAGTTAGAAGAGAAAGAGCCTAAGACAATGATGAAGCACATAGAATATTCTCAGTGATGAGTTGATGAAGAACTATATGTGTGAGACTGTTAGAGATATATGTTTATGAAACTTAATTTGCTTAACATGTACATAAATGAGTATTGAATTTTATAAATTATCAGTCTATATTTTTATGCATTTTATTATTTAACTTACAGGCTATCGTGAAAGGCGACGCAACATTGAAGTCATGGCAAGCTCACAAGGCCTGGCATGTCCCAGTACAAGAGAGGTGCAGTCTTGTCCACAGCCAGCATGCCACAGCTGGGTAGAAGGACACTGGAGCTCTTGTGAGCTGGGCCCTGGGATGAAGAAATGTGGAGAAGGCAGGCGTACTCGTGAGGTCACCTGTCGCTCAATCTATGGAGTGAGTAATCACACATATTAACCTCAAGAAATATATTTTAAATTCTGGTATAAATCAAGTTTATGCAGTGGTAATTCTGTAGTCTCATATCTGGAATATCTCTGGTTTTAATATCAGCCAAGTAACTGGCTAATCTCACTGAGCGTTCTTGTGGTCATCCTTGTTAGATGAATGCCAGGACAATAACTCGAATTTGTCTCTGACAAATTCCTTCGAAATCCTTACTATTCACTACTCATGACTGTGTTCCCTTGTCATTGAACACCGTATAACCTCAGCAGATGAAAGAATTTGATGAAATAACATGACGATTAAACAATCTGTGACGAGTTTGCTTGGAAAAATATACAGACTTTATCAATCCATATTTTTTAAACATGGTGCCAGTACTCAGTGCTGATTTCATGAAGTACCACAAAAATTTAAGCACTCTCATGTGGAAATATATGTGTGAGTAAAGATAGTGTGATTTATGTTGAATTGCACTGGATTCATGTTGCTCTGGATAAAGTCCAGGTTCTAGTTCTGACATAGCAAACTTGAAAGTTTATAGCAATTGGAAATTTCATACACAGATCAATAAATAGAGACTTATCAGGGAAGTTAGTCATGCATGGTTGCAATGTATGTCACTTATATGTGTGTGCACAGGGAATTGTGGAGGACTCTGTGTGTGCTCGTCGCCAAGTGAAGCCAATTACAGAGGAATTATGCCTGCTTCCTTGCCCATATGATTGTGTACTCTCACTCTGGTCTGATTGGAGTCCTTGTAGTCACAGTTGCTCATCTCCTCGACAGATGGCTCTGAGACATCGTAACCGCACTGTGATTGCACCTCCTGGTGAAGGTAGGTGTGAGCCATCATGAGTCATCATTTTTCTCAATTCCCACTTTATAAGTAAGAGTAGACTTTTGATATGTTGCATATTTGTGCATATGTGTGTGTGTGTGCGTGCACTTGGGCTATTGCATGAAAGAGAGAGGGTGAAATCTTCATGTACGTTTATGCCCTGTCATGAGGTTTGCTTTTCAGTGTCCTGCCATCAACAATACCTATGTTCAAACATTTGAAGGAGAAAAACAACACAACAAAGTCACCAATTGAAAAATCCATACAATCTAAAATTAAACAACATTGCAAAGAATATGCTTCATATTGTAGTGTACAAAATTCACAATGGTATCCTTTGCAGTGCATGAAGCCTATTTATCGTCCTTTTACAAAACATGATAAGAAGTTTATAATATATATGGCTGTTAATAAAATTCTTTTCCGTTCTTTTCTATTACTGTTAAAATAGCTTATTTTTCCAAAGCAAATAGACATACAAATATTACAAGTAACTTCAATATTTGGAATGTTTGAAGCAGTTCATTTAATAAGTAAAGTTGAATAGTTGGCTGTTGAAGTTGACTTTGTGTGATCACAATGCAGATTGCTGCTCAGAACTTTCTGTACAGAATTTTTTGAGCACAGACCAAATATCAGTGCTGTAACTTAATAAATCTTGCCCCATTTGACTTTATAGTCTTCCCATAACTCAAAATGTTATAGAAAATAACTCTCCTCTTTATTCTATTGAAAGAATTGAGAGCAGTGATAGCAACAATGAAAGGACTTTCAGAAAGTGATTTACAGCATTGTGGTCTGTGACTAAAATTGGTTGAAAGAGATTACTTTGATGATACTCCCCTGTACAGGTAGTGATAAAGGGAAAATTGTTATGTCTGAAATATCACTTTATACTCTTGTAATGTCAGTTATCATCTTGGCATGTTATTGTTATAAATGTACAGCTTTATACCTGAACTTATACAAATATAATTTTTTTCTTTAAAACTAAGTTTCTTTTATTGTCTGTTTGCTGTGAAAATTCAAAATAAATAATTGATGGCACAATACTTTGCATATTTGGTAAAAGATTTCAACCCACATAACCTGATGACCAGATGTCCTGACTGGGGGTTTTCTAGGTTTTCCTTAGCTGCTTCATTTAACACAAGGATAGTCCTCTGTATTAGGCTTTGACCACTTTCTATCACAGCTCTTTAAAGTTCATTATTTGGTAATCAACCTATCACTGGACACCACATAGTCTGAACTACATACAGCATTTTTAAATAATCCATAAACAAATGATATAGCAACATAATATGTAGCTGGTACTTGCATGTGACAGTATAATCCAGTCCACAGTAGAGAAGGGATTTAGTTCATAAGGATAAGAATTTCTTGGATTTTATATATACCAGTATGCACTTTTTAATTTTGTTTTCTTTGGTAATTTTGTGTTTCACATGAATTACTCTAGGAAATGCAAGAATCCATTACATTGGCTAGTGTTCCAGAGTTTATTAGCTATCATAATACCTGTCTCACAGTGTATTTATTTCTCAGTATTTTATACTGTCTAACAATGTCTACTTCTAATCCATTTTATATTGGGTGCCAGGTTATCTAATCTGGGTTTTATCCATGTTCATATAGTCATCGATTCTGATGCACCCCTAAATCCACTCATACACACATTCAATGTTTCATGCAACAGGGGGTCATGGCTGCCCAGATCCAGATGAAATGTTGCAGATGGAGCCTTGCAATGTACATAGTTGTCATGGTTACAGCTGGTTGGCTCTACCCTGGCAATCTTGTCACCCCTTGCCACCATCTGAAAGGTTCAATACAAGTTCTTTGACAACACTTGAACCGGGTAAGCATTTACCATGTATGATTCTTTACAAACTTGAACGTTGAAATGGGGATAGAATTCTGAATCATTTGGATGATTCAATGACTTTTATCAGCAAAGGAACAGCAGTACATATCGGCTTTGCATGTCACAATTATTAATTATGAAAGATGGCATTGAAAATTCAGGTTTCTGTCTTTCACTGCAACAAAACACTTACAGAATATCTTAAAATTAGTCTTAGCATTTCTTAGTAACTGAATATATCAGATGATAACATGTGACATGCAGGCCTGATATGCTGTGCACAATAGAGGACAGTGAGGCTTAATATAGTATGAATTATATATGACAGTACCAGAGTATAAGGATCTGTCAAATTAGATTGTGGCAGGCCTGTCAGAATGTGACCCACCAGCTGAACTGCTTCACTGGCAAAGCAAAGTGTAAAAACTTCTCTCTTATGAATTTCTCAATTTAATCTTTCGTCATCATCATCATC